CGTTCAATTCGGATTTTAAAGAAAGATGTTCTATAAAATTCAGTTAACTATAACCTATCTACAGTTAGCATGGATTATCTACCTACCTACTCTAACTACTTTAACTACTTTGCAAATAATCCATCTTCCCTAAGCATAGATTATGAAAACATTCTTTTATAAAAACGTTGGAACACCATTATATGACCTCTATTCTTATGTCCGGTAGGGCTCCGCCAGATACCGTCCAATAAGATAGGTTGAGAATAGAAAACAAACCATTATATCTAAGACAAGGTAATAACAATCTAAAATCTAATTAAAATATTAAATCCAATTGAGTTGTCTCAATTACTCATAGTCATAAAATCAGAAGTAAACTATCTATTAAAAATATCCCAAAGTTAAGAACAATCAAACCATAATACTAGATTGGGTTACATCAGTGCCCTAAGAGATGAATTAGCTACTCATGACGATGTCGGATGTCATCTATTCTGCAGTCGTCTCCATCGTCACTAATGGCACTTTTCTTCTCAGGATCTTCACTTTCTAAGGTTGTGAAAACCCTAAAAGCCACCACCACAGTATCAGCCTTCTAAAATAATATAAGAAAAAGGGACCTCTTCTATCATGGCTTGTGCCTTCTTTTATAGAAGAAAATAAAGGCTTGGTGGGTTTTTAGGTCTTCTGGCCCATCTGGAATGAGATACGGCTTGAAAAGAGAACATTCCCGTAACTTAAATCTGACATGTCATGGAAGGCTCGAGCTTTAGGAACAAAGGCTCGAGCTTTACAATTCAGGCTCGAGCTTCTTTGAATTAGTGCTTGAGCCTCAAGGATTGGTCCTCAATCTTCACTTTGACACTTAGCCAAATTTAGAATATTCTTAGGCTTCATCTCTTTTAACATTACTCGATCCAAGCTTCATGGGCTCGAGCACCAGGTACCAAGCTCGAGCAATAGGTACTCAAGGCTCAAGCTTTGTGTAATGGTGCTTGATCTTTGGGGTTAGGCACAAGGTCTGGGAGCTTGAAAATCAACTCTTCAAATTCCGACGCCTTGTGCTCGAGCTTGAAGGTTAAGGCTCGAGCACCCTAAGTTGGGGCTCAAGCTCGAAGATGCAAGGCTCGAGCTTCAATGCCTTGTTGACTTTTCTTTGACTGGTAAAGCTCGAGCCTCAAGCCTTAGGCTTGAGCTTTGGATTCTGAATTCCTCCAAACTTCACCATTTAAGCTCTCGGCTTGCTCTGAATGATCGGCAACGACTCTGTAAGCTTCGATATCATCATAAAGTCCCAGTTTGAACCGTTTATCTGGGAAAGTACCTATAAACACACATTAAACATAAATCAATCTAATAATGGGTAGAAGTATCACTTTAGGCCTTAACATACGTATATTTAGGGACTCGAATATCAAATATTCAGCGCTCATCAGCATGTACCACATGAATTGATTTACATTGAATTGCAAAGTTTGTAAAACTTTAGGCCATACGCATATCCATTTCCTACAAGTAACTCATTTACTCACCCTGTGGTTTGGGATTATTTTTCAAGTAAAGAAACGTTATTATGGGATGCACAACATCCCTAAGCTTTCTTGACTACTTGGAGTATTTTTGACATACTAGAATATGCACTTGTTAGCATATTACACTTTGTTTTTGGTTTTATTATATCAAAACATGTATTTAATGTTCAAACTATGTAATGTGCACTTTAGTGCACCTTTTGATACTCTTTGGATGTGTATGTAATGAGGCCAAGGGCCAAAGACATTTATATGACATGTATGCTAATTTATCTTCATAGTTTGTTTGAGGAATTTATGAGATTCCTAGGGTTGAAGGGTCATATTTTGTATATGACATGCTATGAGGCCGCAGGCCATTGTAGCGCGTCTACTTTATCATTTTACGTTTACGTGTATGTTCACATCTCACAAAACTCTAAAGTTTTGACTTTGGAACTATTTTTGGATGATTTATGAATTTTTGCAAAATTAATGCATTAGAGTTTGATTTGAAGTTCTCTTTTGATTAGCATGTTATGTATGCTTGTATGAGGTTAGGGAATGTTTTTAAACTTGTTTTGGGGCATATAGGATGCATGAATAGCATTAGACTTGGACCGAGCACCTTCCACACACTTGACAGTAGCAAATTTTGTTAATATCAGGTGCATCGGTCGACTGACAACTGATATCAGCCAACTGATAGCCTCTCGAGACCAATTCCAATGAGTTTGCTTGTGAAAAAGGTCGTTTCAGCCGGCTGATGATTGAGTTTCAGCCGGCAAATCCTTGCTGTCGGTCGGCTGATCCTCCCTGAAGCCTTCTCTTTATAATTTTTCTTGGACAGCTTTCTTACACCAACTTTAGATGGTCATATCTCTTTCATTTCCGATCCAAATTAGGTCATTCTTGAGTCTAAATTCAAGATCTTGAAGTTATCTTTCCAATGGTACCAACCACACACAAAAACTCTAACCGTAGTGAGAGTTACACCAGTTTTAGTGAGATAGGGTCTTGGTATCTTTTAAACGGAGGATGCCATTTTATTCTATTTTCATATCTTTTCCGTCCATACTCTAAATCACGTGATTCTTGAGTCTAACTTCGGTTCTTTTTCACTGCCTTTCCAATGGTGTGCACGGTGGTACCCATTTTTGTATAAAATAACCATTTTGCCCTTAGCCTAATTCTTGTCGGGTTTTAAAACCCTAGCTTAGGTCTTGCTTCCGCTAAGTCACGGGACTTCTCAGTAGATCTTTCATGTGTCTTAGGGATGATGTACATCTCAAACGACTTGTTTGTGTTCACTTCTACATGTTGGATCCGGTAATAGGTCATCTTTTGGTAATTACAGGATGCACTGGGTTTGGAAATCCAAGGCCGTCACACTTCTGGCTGGGTCAAGCTCTTATAATATTTGTAACGACCCACTCCAGCATATGGTATGATATTGGCCATTACAAATGGTATCAAAGGCTGACCCAGTCGGAAGTGTGCTGACGGGGACGTCGAGCCTCCTAGGGGGCTAGATTGTGCCGACTTTGTGGGTGGATGCAAGAGGCACTGGCAGACTACCACACTGGGCGAGTTACGAGTGCACAATCCCGCATTGTCTAGGTAAAGGAAATATGAAGTGCTTATATGTGGTGGTGTTATCTCCAATTGGTATGAGGCATTTTAGGGTAAAACCTAAGAGCAAAATCGTGTGAGCTCGGGCCCAAAATGAACATGTAATATCATGCCATATGGTATAATGGGTCGTTACAAATGGTAGCAAAACCTGACCTAGCCAAAAGGAAAGGTAAAGTGCTTATATGTGGTGGTGTTATCTCCAATTGGTATGAGGCATTTTAGGGTAAAGCCAATGGCGGATCTAGGATTTCTGAATTGGATAGACTAATTTTGGGGTGGCTACTATTACTAAAAATTTTTTTTTTTTTTGGGCTGGGCTAAAAGTAGTATAGTAAAAAATATATATATATGGGGTGGGCTAAAGCCTATCACAACCCACCCCTCCCTTCGACCTTGGGTAAAGCCTAAAAACAAAATCGTGCAGGCTCGGACCCAAAGCAGACAATATCATACCATGTGGTGGAATGGGTTATTACAGATCAAACATTGTATTGTAAGATATAACTATTGTACATAAATCAGAGGGCTAAACTAGAAAACAACTCAAATCACAGGTCTGAGATACAAATTTCATTTGCAATAGTACATAGCTCAAGTACTCAGCAAATGTAAAAAAAAACGAGTCATACATGTCTCAGCCTTGATAATACACCCTAACGAGCATAAATAAAATGTGAACCCCCAAAGCAGACTTTGCACCAAAAAACTAACAGTAAATGGACACCAAACTACTCAACACTATTGTAATCACTCCAATCATCTTTATAAGTGGATTCCAAGCTCAAATCATCAAAAATAATCCATTCATGTTCAGCTCTCGAGTCATACAAAATGTAGGTCAAATTAGGGTTTTGCAAAACAGGTTCAAACCTGCAGAATTGCTATAACAGTGTATATATACACTTATTAATTCGATCCAATCGCTACTCCAATGAAGATATACACCTAGCTGCTGCACCCAATCATTGGCCAGGAAATATTCTGACATTCTCTCAATGGGACCACAATGCGCTTGCCAACTCAACTATTTTGCCCTCTAGTGCACCAACAATATACCAACCCACGTGCACATCACTTTTTGGCCTTCTTAACCAAAACTTAGAGCTAAAGAATTGCACCTCAGTGTATATACTCTCACTTTAGGACTACTATTACGCGTCACACACCAGGGCTCTGAGTATAAGGACAAAAATACACCTAGATACGCCACTTGTCACATAATACACAAAACTGTTGCTGAAAGTGTAAAACTTGCAATGCACCTTAATTATGTGATCTTCAAAGCAATGCAACATACTTAGAGAAGCGTGAAAAGGTTCAATGCAATTGTGAGAAAAAGACATTAATGCCCCTAGATAAACGTGTAGCTAATTATCACGCCTTCAACCTCATCAAAAACTAGAAATAAGCCTGATTATTGAGTATTAAGTACAATGTACCATCCTTAAGCTTCATGAAAAGTGTCACAAGTTGGTAAAAGACTAAACTACCCCTGTGAGATAATATACACCACTAATTACAACACGAAATGATTAAATTTTATCAAATTATTTTTTATACCCCAAGGTGCTCAACTATCTCCCTTGTTTGACGGTAAAGTAAATAAAAAGTGTATGTTTTGTTTTTAAATTCAGGGAAAGCCGACTCCAAATAGTGCATTTTTTTCATTTATATATATATTTTTAGCACTCTAAATTCTAATTTGACACGGACTCGTACTTTACCCCAAATTCAATGTAAAAAAAAAGCTACTTGCTTTAAAAAGAACAAACCGATCTGATTTGTGACTAATGACTAATGAGGCCCCCCCCCCCCCCCCCCTTCGATATATATAATATATATCTTATAAACTATTTGTTTCTCTCTAAAAACACAAAAATATTTGAAATTATACCTTCCCAGTCCCTTCCCACCCCTTCGACAGGCGATGGACGACCCTTCACCCTCCCTGCAAAGTCTCCAATCATCCCCGCCCATCGCCGCCACACAAACTGACCACCCACCAATCGCCGCCGTCGATCAAACCTCCAACTCTCCCAATCCAACGGTCGAATCACCTCGCCTTTCAAAGTCCACCATCGACGCTGGAAAACCCACCGTCATGAAAAAGAAGAAGAAGAAGCAAAAACCACACATTGTGGACGGCTCTGATTTGCCACCGTCGTCCTCGTCATCCTCATGTTGTTGTTCTTCGCATTCGACACAGAGAGGTTTTCGAATTTCGAGTACCCGACGAAACCCTAGAGTTTTGATCGGTTCGGTTCGACAGAGAGAGAGCGATGTCGAGGCGATTGCACTTCCACTTGGAATGTCGATTGCGGCCGTTGTTGCTCAGGTTCGATCTGTTTGTTACTTATAAGCAAATACATAATGTTGGTGTTTTGTTTTTCATATATAGTCGTGAAATTTTCAAACTCTGCTTCTTTGTTTTGATTTTTTTTTCTCTCTCAAAAATCGAGAATCGGGGAATTAATGTTATTGCTCAAAAGGTGATTACTTTTATCTTAATTTCATTAAGAAAATTGTGAAACCAAATAAAGATGATTTTTTTTTTTGGTAAAATATACCAGACTGCCACAGGATTTGGGGGGTTCTGTGGCCAATTTTGATCAGGGTAGCCTATTGTAGTTTTGGGTAGTAAATTTTATTTCTATGATTTTAGACCGATACGTTACTTGAAAGGAAACAAGTGTAAAAATCACATTACATTATACCCTCATAGCAAGTTTGTTTGCCAATTGCCACTTTCCTCATATCAAGGATGTTTGCGAATTGCCACTTTCCTCATAGCAAGGATGTTTGCCAATTGCCACTTTGCTCGTAGCAATATCACATTACATTACCCCCCTCATAGCAAGTTTTATTGCCAATTGCCACTATCCTCGCAGCAACAATGTTTACCAATTGCCACCTTGTTATTAATATTAGGATGTGCATTTGATTTTTGCTACATGGCCGTCTATTCCCCTTAATGTTCCTTAACACGCCCCAACATGGTATGTTAATGGGATATATATAACATATTTTAGAGCGGTGGACTGAAAAATTCCATTGATTAAAAGGGTCAATATTGAAATACATAATGAAATTTTTTCTAGTCTTTAAATTTTTGGATATTGAAATATTGAAATACATAATGACAGTTTATATTATGGTTTTATGGAGTTGAAGAAAATCTATGAGTTGAAGCAAATTCATGAGTCTTCCTTGTTGTAGTTTTGATTTCACAGGGGCATTGATGAAGTTAGTTGGAGACCAATCATTCAATGTTACCAAGGAAGATAGATGCCTAGAATATTGAAGATAGAAGTAGAACCACTTGCTCTTAGGAGCTTTTAATGCTTGGTGCTTGTTCTAAGATTATTCATATGGAAGGCATTTGCTCTTAGGAGGTTTTAATGCTTGGCGCGTGTTGTAAGATTATCCATATGGAAAATTCAATATTTAATTAAAGATCTGCTTTGAAAAGTTCATTAGTAAGGACAAAGTGTTTAGTTTTTCTTGCACCTCATGTGTTTAAACTGTTACATAGACATATTTATGATGGTCTTGGTGTTTTTTCCGGTTAGATGTGGGTTTTAGTATTGGACCTCCTTGAATTTCAAATATGAAAGTAATTGGACTAGACTTGGTTTCACCTAAATGCAATCGAAGGTTAGATACAGGTATATAGACGCATCGTATATATTTAAAATTTAAATATGTTATCTAATAGTTTAATAAACGGTGAAATTATTCTTTTAGGATTTACTCCATTAGAATTTAAATGAAATAGAAATGTGGTGAAAATGGGTTTTCTTGAATTCTTTCCTGCTATAAGATTCAAGTTCATTTCTTCCCCCCCCAACCCCCCCCCCCCCCCCCCCCCCCCCCCCCCCCCTTCTCTCCTTTTCCATTGCTTAATCACATGTAGTTGATAAGGGGATGCCTGATTTAGGCTTGTGTATAGGAGTATTGGACACATATCCTATACTCATAGTCTCATACTCATGTTTTGTGATGGTGAGGGGAATAAGAGAGTACACGTAATTCAGGTTTCGGAATCCGCATTAATAGTCCATTTGTGAGAGTACCCCATAACGTACTTAGATGTTTTCAATAAAACTAGAAATTGAACACTATAAAGTTTTAGTGTTAGATTAATATCCTGAATATTTTGAAAGATGAATTTGTAGAATTAAAAAAAAAAAAGGGGTATTCTTGTCAGTCCATATTGTGTTATAAGCATTCAGTACTTAGTGATATTCTTTACTTGAAGTTCATAGCTATTTGTAAGTAAACTTTTCATTTCAAGCGATAACTGATACACCAAATATCAAATGCACCTAAGAGAGAAACCATTGAAAATTTTAGTTTCGAACATTTAATTGGGTTATTAAACGACACCTTAATCAAACATTCCAACCTCTAAAAATTGCTCATAGACTTAACTGTGAAGCAAGATAATCAGCCTTACTAGACTCTCATGGCCAAGACTTAAGAAACGGGATAGGAAAAGGATTATTTCTGGACCCTGTACAAGCTACCACCATCCACTTAACTTCCAATTAAAAATTGCTGTTAGTCTTCATTGTGAAGCAAGCTGATTAGCTTGCTAGACTTGCATGACCAGTTGGTCCCTATACAAGCTACCATTATTTAATGGCTTTGGAGAGAGATAATTTACAATAGGCCAGTTAACATCCTATTACATTAGTCTGCTCGCTGCCTTTAATTTTGGCATATTATTCAGTAAATGCATTAATTGGAAGATAGAATTAGAATATTTTATGATCTAATGAAATAAGGAAATTGTTAGATTAGAATTGTTATAAATACATTCAAAATATCTGAATATTCCACTAAATGAATTTGCTGGCTCGGGGATATGTGATGACAGCTGAATCCAAATTTGACTTTTACTTGTTAACTTCTTTTTTTCTTTTTTTTTTTTAAAAAAAAATAATAAAAAAAAACTATGATAACATGCATATTTTTAAGGATATGGAGTTGTTTATACTTTCAAGTTCCAGGATATAAAGCTACAAAATTCGAATTTATAACTTTTAGATCATCTTCTAGAGTCTTTTTTTTTTTTTTTTTCAATTTTATTTTTATAAGTACTTAACTTGTTAAAAGGAGTTTAGCTTTTGCCCATTGGCGCTTTTATTTATTCCGTTTTCCCAAATAACATATTCATAGTTATTCTAATTTTTACATTTTCTTTTCTGAATTAGTGAATTACATAAGTGTGAAGGCTCAAAGCATGTGTCAAGTTTAAAATATGATTTAAGGATTACTGTAATGTCAAAGGCCAAGGCTGAAGACTTTTTTTTCTTGTGCCCTGCCTGGGTACAAGCCTCCCTGCATTAGCTTCAAAAATATTTTGGACAATTCTTCTCAAATTATCATGTGACCTTTCAAGTAACCTCTGTGAAATGATATTTTAGCAACACCCTGTGAAACTTCTCATGATTCTGTTTGCTCCTTCTAAATTAGCATTATGTATTTTTTGGTTGATAATATGGATGCTGTGCATGTTGTTACAGGTCCTGGAAAAGACAGATGCAACTGGGGAAAGGATGTCTGTACATCATCTTTCTAGGGTACTTCTTATATCCTCTTTTAAGACCAACATGTGTAGTAAAATTTTGCTTCCCATAAATGGATCTATGCATTCATACAGCATGTTTCTCCATCAATATATTTTATTTTTCCTTGACACATGTCTTTTCGCATAAATTTGATTGTTGTACATTTTTATGGACCCTACACATCTACTGCCTGTCTGGACAACAGAGAGGTTAGATGGTTGAAATTATCCATCGCTGGTAACCATTCAGCCATGCATCATCCAGATGTTGCTCCAATTGGATTGATGAAACATTAGGCACGTTGAGGTGATGCCCGCCATTAACAGTGGGGGTTGCAACTTTATATATTTCTTCCACTCATTTTTGTCATTTAGCTTTTTTGTGATAAGAATGGATTATGATTGATTTAAATTTATCTACTTGCTTGCAGATCTGCAGTTTGGCTGTCAGAGAATCTTTAGCCAATGTAAGCCATACCATAAACTGTTTCATCCATTCACTCTGGATGTTAAGTTTCTTCTAGGAAGCACGGACACGCCAAAATGGGCAAAGAATCCGTGTCCGGCACGTGTCGGACACGCCCCGACACGTGTCGGACACACCAAAACACGTGTCTGGAATTTTTTATTTTTTAAAATTTTCGGACACGGCACGCACACTCCGCGGACACGCGTCCGACATGCCATGGGTGTGTGTCCGACAAGCGTGTCTTATTTTCGGGGGTCTAAAAGATAATTTTTGAAAGAAAATTGGGTTAAAGTATAAATATGTGAAGTTAATTAACAACTTTTACTCACTTATGTGGTCAATACATAATAATTTTAAACTTGTAAGGTTAATATGCAATTTTAGACAAAACAAATAGATATTTAAGGGCAGTCATTACACTATTACAGTAGATGAGTTATGATTTGTGTAATTTTTTCATTATGAGGTTGATGAAAAATAGTTACACTCAGTAATTTTTAAAGTACTACATCATATATAATATATATATATATACTATTCGCCATGTCCCCGCCGTGTCCGTGTCCTAATTTTTTGGGATTTGCCGTGTCCGTGTCGTGTCGTATCCGTGTCCCGTATCCGTGTCCGTGCTTCTTAGAGTTTCTTCTTGTAACTCAGCAATATTTAACGTATTCACATGTTTAAAGCAATAAATTGTGCAATTGTGTTTTGATTGCTTATATACGTAAAAAACAGGTTTTTGGGGACAAGTTTGACTGTTTTGTGAGGAACTTTGAAAAATCATTTCGGAGCACTTTGATGACTCTGAGATTAATCAATGAATCTTCTCAAAGCGAAGGAGGAGAGCTTCTGAGACATTTAAGGAAAGAAAATTATTGTTCACATGTGAGTCCACCAATGTCTCTCAACACAGAAGGAGATTCTGCATGCAATTCTGGTGTAAAAGATTGTCAGTCAGAAGCAGTTCCACACGCTATCAGCACTCAAGAAGGCTGCGGCACTCTCGAAGAGACCGAAGAGAATATTCATCCAGATTTGTTGAACCGGGAACTTGCCTTGCTTGATGGACAAAGAAATCAACAGTTGACGTGTGTTTCTCCAAGCACACTACAGTCCGTTATGAGTCAGTCCGTGATTGAACAAGCCCGCTCAAACTACTTCAAGAGAATTGAGATCAGTCTTAGCATGAAAAAGCTGAAACTTAAAGAAGAACAGCTCTCTCTTAAAACTGATTCAAATCTTTTGGAGAGGTTTAAATTATCATTGGGTATTTCAAATGCATCCTTTAAAGCTGAAAAATTCAAAAATCAACTGGAAGACACCAGACATGCTGAGCTGCTTAGAACGTGCATGGACTGTCTCGTTGCTGGTTTGTTTGTCATGTTGGGATCCCTTGCATATGGAGCTTACGTTTACTCGCCCAAAAGGATTACTGAAGCTACTGTATCCTGTACACCTACCATGGTAAGGATTGTGTTTTAATATTGGCTAGATCTAATCATCATTTAGATTTGAGGTAATGCAAACTGTTTGACTTCTTTAGGATCAATTGCCTTGTTTCCTTTGCGACATGATTTGATAATCAAAAGAGACCATTCCCCAGTGTTGGACTTTTGACTTCATTTGCATGAAGTGGCTGCTAGTAAACTTTAACCCACTTGTGCACCTTGGTAGCCTGAGCTCTTATAATTCACAACCCTTATTAAATATTTCCTAGAAAATGCTTTGCTAATTAGATCAATATTCCCTTATTTTCATTGAGTGGATTGTTGTAACAGTTCTATGAGCAATCCCCTTTTTCAAGTTAATATTCATTATATAGCAGTAGGGTTATTCTGTTTTTTGCTTTGAATTAGCCCATAATGGAGTTAAGTTTTCTCTGTAAACAGGTAGGGTCTGTTTGGTTTAAATGGAAACTTCAAATGGAAATTGAAAGTTAAAGAAAGTGAAGTGAATGAAACGAAAATCTATTTTATAATGAAAATCAATTTTCAAGCATGCATTTGGTTAGCATGAAAATTCTTCTAGAAAGTTGTGGATATTACCATTTCCATGGTTTGAATAGCATGAAAGAAAATATTGTTGTTTACCTGAATTGTCCTTTTGTTTTTTTAGGTCTAATAAATTTGTCTTCAATAGATATATTTGGTCCTTTTTATAAAAAAATATAAGTAATAAAGAATCTAAAAAAATTGTTTTTTAGGACATTTAGAGAGATGGATTATTCCATTCTTATAAAAAGTTATGTATAAACACATTTTATTTAGAGAGATGAAAAGAAAGAGCATAATTTGTAAGCTTACATAACTTCCCCAAGGAAGCAAGATTTTCCAGTGTTTCTCGTAGAAAAAATCATGGAAAAGTTTAGTGGTTATGGAAAACTTCTTTCCCTCAAAAATTTCCTTTTTATGCTATCTTAACTTCTAAAATTTTAAAAAATAATAAAAGTAGAAATAAAATAACTAATTTTCCTTCACTTTTCACTATTTTCTATCTAACCAAACCAAACATAGAAAATTATTGAAACAATAGGACGGAGGAATATTTTTGCCTGAATTGTTGTCTCTCTTAGTCCTCGGAGTTTGGCATTGTTTTAAGATTTTCTTACCACAGAATCTTGTTTCTAGGCTTAAAGTTCAATACAATGATTTCTCACATCTTTAAAAATCCAAAATGCTGATGGTAGCACGGACTACAACCAAAAAAAATTTAAATGTATATTTACCAGGATAATGCTAACTTCTTTTAAATGGCTTCTCTCTTTTTTCTTTTTTGGTTTTAATGTTTGATAATTTACACTATGTTTGTATATACATACTGTTGTTTGAGATTTGAAGAAAAAGTCACTTTCTGAATGGGTTTGCGCTTAGCTGCAGAAGTTGTGGCTGGTGCAGCTGCTTCTATTATTATACACTAGTAATGGATGATTAGTTGATACTCTGGCTGCTTTACTCCAATTTGCTTTCTTTTTCTATTAGGAAATGTGTTTTGATGTCTTGCTTCTGTTTCAGGAGTCCAAGTCGTCCTGGTGGATCCCAAAACCAATGGCATCTGTCAGTTCGGGATTCCAGGTTTTAAGTTGTCAGGCTCAAGTTGTAAGTCGCATGCTGTTTGGTATGTTAATGATCTTGGCAATTGCTTATTTGCTGATCCAGCGTTCAGGAACTTCACAACAGACGATGCCGGTTACTTTCATAGTCTTGCTATTAGGAGGGGCATGTGGTTTTGCAGGCAAAATCTGCATAGACACATTGGGGGGCAGTGGATATCATTGGCTCGTATATTGGGAGGCTCTATGCTTGCTGCACTTCTTTTCAAATGTTTTTATTTCAATTTTGTTTCTTTTTCTCAATGGTCCCATCGCTGTGTCTCCTGGGGCGAAGGGCGATACAATATTTCCATACTGGATCAGGCGATTTCTGTTCTATACAACTGTGCTTCTGTTACTGCCGTTGGCATGTGGTCTTGTGCCTTTCGCTAGCCTTGTGGAATGGAAGGATCACTTTTTTTCATTGATCATAGATTATTTGCCGAGTATGGATGATTGATTCCGGATGTTGGAATGCTGAGAAGAGCACTGCTGTTTTATTCAATAAGCCATGGCTAATGTATCGAGTATTGAGTTGTGTAATGTAATCATATTTATTTGTTTGGCCGAAGCAAGCCTGTCGGTTTAGGTGGCTTATTTATTTTGTGTTGTCTTTCTCATTCTGCTTCCAGTGCAGTTAAGAGTTTTTTTGTATGAAAAAAGGTTGGATTTGAGTCTTGTACCATTACCATTTATCTGTATTGTAACATTAAGTTGTACTCTAGCTGTTTTGCGTTAACTAAGTTATAAATTATGGAAGTGAACTTTTGTGTTCTTTTGTCATATTTCATTGTTTGTTGAGAAGAGGGTACTAATGAGATGGTAAGTATATATATATATATATATATATATATATATATATATATATATATATTTTTACATTATGCTGAAACGAGTTATTCACGTTTGAATGTTAAACGAGTTAATCCAATCGTCCGTGGATTGCCTGATCATGTAAAACTAGTTGTACTAGTGTATGATTTGCAAATTGTTAACGACTATTTACTTTAAAAGTTTAAGCTATTAGAGAGAGTGTAACTTTAATGTTTAAATCCCTCAACCTGTCTCCCTAACGTGTGGTTTTTTTTTTTTTTGTTTCAAATGTGTTTTTCAATTTTAATTAGGGTGAGTTTAAACCAAGACCTTTGGTTTTGATACTGTTGAAGCAAAATCTGCCCTGTCCAGAGCCGAGAGCCATTCCTGCAAGATAAGAGAAGTAATGAATGGCATGGTGCCTGCCGGGTGCACTCCGACGGTCAAGGTAGTACTTGACGATTGAATATCCGATAAAGGATTAAATATGGGATTTATGGCGTACCTTTTTAGGTTGACGGATGAAATATGGGATTTATGGCGTACCTTTTTAGGTTGACGGATGACTTCTTTTATAGAAGTACTAATAGTGGTAGTCTTCTAGAATGAAACTGATTTATTTTCCTTGTCCATTACGAATTGTAAGAGTCATCGGAGAGGGTAGTAGTTGTTATTTATATCTCCTTTATTATTATTTTTTTTTCCTGAATGGGATGATATATAAAAACAAAAAAACAAAAAAGAGCATTACAAGGTCTTAAGGAGGCATTCCCCCTTTTTACATCACAGGACTTAGAATAAGCCCATTTCCAATAAATGCTGGACAATAATAAAAAAGAAAACCACAACATAAAGAATTAAAAAATGATTAACAAATCCTCAAGTCTAAGTTTGAGGTATGCAAGCACATCCCAAACAATAGCTCTAGCAGCAAAAGAAGAAGTATCCTGCATTCATGATGGAGATTTGAATTTCGATTGGACCAAATCTTCCAAATAGTGGCAGCAAATAAGGCACTTACCACTGTTGACTTTGTAGATTTGAAAGTTGATGCAGAAACCAGTCTATCATTTGTGGAAATAAGTTGAAACTGGGCAAATGATCGACGAGTCGATTACAATTATAAATCAACCATTTTGCAATAGCACAAATCATTGTAAAATAGGGCTATTGATCGGGTAAGTCGAACCACTGGAACTGCTAGTTTATGGCAACTTAGGTGTCTAGAGTCATTTTTAGAATGATAAAGGGGGTTATAGAGGATTTGTTGGATTGTCACTAAGATTATGAATTGAAAAATGCATAAAACATTAATGCTAAGAAGTAAAGAGGTAAAGACAATTAAAAAGAGAACTAGGGAAGTGAATCCGCACTAAACCCTAAACACATGCTAGATCAAGACTAAATTGGGGATAGACAATATATAAATGATGGTCAAGAATTATATAGCAACACATGGTTGCCCTATAATCATCGAGAAGTTCATCAAATCAAAACAAGAATAATCCACCAAAAGTGCAAACATTCGAACTACCTAAACTAGGGTGTAGCATCAAACATACTATCTTAAGCAAAAGATCATCAAGCCTTTAATCAAATGATAAAGCACATGAAGCTAGGAATCAAGTATAAACTATCAAAGGGAATACCTAAGCAATAGATTATCAAGTTTCTCATACAACATGCAATGAAAACCATTCATAATCTTATTTCCATTGTTACCATGAAAATGCAAGCATTATAATTAATATAAGAAACCATCTAAGACAAAATAATTAACTTACAACAATCATTTATAACATTAGAATTCATTACAAGAAGTAATATGCTCTAGATTATGAAAAGACCAAAAATTATACATTATTATCCCCAAAATAGAGCTTAATCTAGAACATGATTACAAGGGAACGCTTCATTTACCCATCACTGCAAGGAATGAAGAGGAAGAAGCAAGTCCACCCTCCATTTTTGCACCTCAAAGAAGCTAAAACCCAAGACCTCAAGAACACCTCTCTCTTTCTCTCTAGAAACTTTACAAAAATGCATGATATCCCAAAAATAATCAGCTTCCCCTCTATATACACTCAAAACCTACTCCCTATACTCAAAATCCCGAGCTCCCCCCTCTGCATGAAGCTAGACCACACAAAAGAAAGATAAGGGGACCAAAATGCTGAAAATCAGGGGCAGTTGAACTGCCTACTGCAGTTCCGCAGGCGCCCGCGAGGCGCCCGCGGGGGCTTGGGCTCACGAGGGATATGCTGGTGTGTTTGACGGGCGCCTGCGGTGGCTGGCGGGAGCTGAGGAATGGCCCGCGAAAGCTGGCAGAGAGAAGAGGGGTTTGGCGGGTGCCCGCGGGAGCTTGCCCTTTGCAGCTTTGACCATGCTTCTTGCAAGCTTCATCAAACCGGATCGTGGACATGCTTCCATCTCAGAAGCACAATGAGCACTAAGCCATGGCTTCGCAAAAACTGCAACATAAGAGGTTCGGTCCAAAAGATGACTCCCCGGCACGGCGCACGTGTTTCAACACAAGTGATGTCAAAACCGCTTCTTTGATCATTCTCGGGAAAAATACCTGGAATCAGAAAGAAATACACAAATGAATTAAAACTGTACATTATCCTCTAATAATGGACTTAACTAATGCAAGAAAGGCCGCTTGAATATGTAATATTTAGCGCTTATTAGCAGATTCATTTGAATAACACTAGCAATTTCTTGCCAAATTACAACAGCAGAGTTACATTCACAAAATAAATGATCATTGGAATTGGTGTTGGCCAAACATTTGTGAAAAATAGGAGCAATATACAGTCCACGTTTCTACAAATTCATATAGCTGAGGTTTTTATTATGAAGTATAATTGCAACCCTCACAGCTATTTTAGGTCGGCATTGACCCCAGCAAAGAGAACTCCATTGAAAAGTCTGTTTTTTTTTAGTCTACATAAACTCCAAGCAGCTTTCAAAGAAAATCGCCCATGCTTCCATGAAATTGTATCAGTCCCAGCCTGCAACTGAAGTCGTTGAATGGCAGTACAAGCAATCTCTGGAAAATCAACTGGGAACATCCACTCACCATTATGAATAATAGAAGACACCATAGTATTTCTCTCAATTTGTCTAAATCTAGTAGCCCCAAACTGTTGAATTAATGATTGATTATTGCACCAGGGATCAGTTAAAAGTTTAAACCTCAAACCATCACCAATTTGAAACTCGGAATTGTCCTTTATTAACTGTCTAACACCCAAAATTTGTTTCCAAATAGGAGAATCCCCTAACTTTGGAATCACAGTCCAAAAACAACATTTATTAAGGTACTTTGCCTGCAGCCATTGAATCTATAGCTTATCTTTTTTCTGTACAAATTCCCAACACAAAGTCATCTTAGTAGCACAGTCAATATCTTGTATTCTTCTAATATTGAAACCCCCCTCAACCACAGGGAGAGTCACTTGACTCCACTTCACTTGTGATAACTTCTTCACATCTTGCTTACCACTCCACAAAAACCATTTAAATCTCTTCTCCAACTGATACTTAACCACCCACAGAATTTTAAATCCAAACATCCAATGGTAAAGATAAGAGTACAAAACAGATTTGATTAATTCAATCCTCCCTGCAAGTGACAAATTTATAGTATTCCAATGTGCTAACCTTGAATTAATTTTATCCAGAAGCAATCTCAAATCACCTGATCTCAGCCTATTATTAGATAAAGGCAAACTAAGATATTTATAAGGGAAAGATTCAGTCTGAAAATGAAGAATGCTGGACAACCTTGTTATACCTCTAACTGATGTGGAATAGATAATTGAACTCTTTTCCTGATTAACTTGAAGACCAGAAATTGCCTTAAATTTCTTGAAAATAGCATCCACATTTTTTGCAGTTGAAATAACATCCTTAACCACCATAAGAAGGTCATCTACATAAAAAGCATGAGAAATATTCATTCCAGTTTTGGCCACCATCTTGCATAACTGAACTCTATCTGTCTGAATTGCATTTGTCATTAAAGTGCTAAAATACTCAGTGACAAAAGAAAACAGAAGAGGAGATAGAGGGCAGCCTTGTCGAATCCCTCTAGAAGAGTCAAAATAACCAGCAGGTACTCCATTACACAAAACATAAAAATTAGGAGTAGTAATACACTACCTAATCCAACCAATCCATCTATCACTAAAACCATGAGCCTGTAATCTTCTATGCAAAAACCCCCTAATCCACTGAATCATATGTTTTTTTCAGATCAACCTTCAATGCCATAGAAGGTCCCCCTGTTTTCTTTCCAAAATCCTTCACCAAATCAGAGACCAGCAATATATTGTCATGCAATCTTCTGTTCTTAATAAAGGCAGACTGCTCAGGGCCAATGAGAGAAGGAAGCACAATACTTAACCTATTTGCAAGGATCTTAGAGATAATTTTATACACAGTATTGCAGAGAGCAATAGGTCTATGATTAGCAATCTTATCTCCATGATTAGCTTTAGGTATAAGAGTGAGAAAAGTAGAATTAATTCCTTGAGGGAACTTACCAGCTTCAAAAAAATATAACACAACTTGAGTTACATCCTGACCAACAACTCCCCAAAATTTCTAAAAGAATCGAGCTGGGAACCCATCTAGTCTAGGGGCTTTGTCAGGATGAAACTGCATAACCACGTCTTTGACTTCTTCCATTGTAACCGAGCAATCAAGAGAAATGCACTCTGTAGGGGTCAACATTTTTCTAGGAGGACAAGTATCTTCAATTATCTCGCCTTGCTGAGTATACAATTCAGAGTAAAACTTTATTAACCATTCATTAATAACCTTGGTCTCTGCAGTCTGCTCTCCAGTAGTATTTTGTAGGTGAGTAATAGCATTGAATCCTCTCCTTTTCTTGACCATGTTATGGAAAAATGCAGTACACTTATCCCCTTCTTGTAACCATTTACTTCTAGACTTTTGGGCCCAAAGAATTTCTTCAATAGCCAAAGCATTGTGTAGCTTACCACAAGCTTCTATTTCTTTATCAATACTCTCCCGAGACACTGGAATATTTTGCAACATATCCAATTGAAGTTTCTGCAAATCATCCCTAGGAACTTGAATTTGCTCTGAAGTTGTACCTTTGACCTTATTCCATTCTTTAACAGCAGTTTTCACAGCCTTTAACTTCTGTTGCAACATATGAAAAGCATTTCCAGATCCTGCAGAAGTCCATGCTTGAGCAACAATCTTATCAATTTCTTCTTGGACACACCAGATCTTAAGGAATTTAAATGGCTTGGGGCCAGCTGAACAATCAAAATACCAATTAGTATCAAGGCCATAATGATCAGAAAAGGAAGCTGCAGTAAACTGAACCTTAACATCATTGAATTGTTAAAGCCACAGATCATTAATTAAAACTCTGTCCAACTTGGCATTTATTCTCTTTTGAGTATTCTATTTATTACACCAGGACCAGTCTCCATTATTGATAGGGAAATCCTCCATCTTGATGTCATAAATTACACTTTTAAATTCATCCAGCTTGCTTTGAGGAACTCTCAATCCTCCTTTCTTTTATCCAAATCCTTTGAGTCTCCATGTCATTTGGAACTCTTAAACGATCAAATATTTCGTATCAGTTGCCCCCTGTTCCCGAGTTTGCTTGTCAAACTTAGGGAACATTAAGTCATTTGCACTCTCCTTTTCTGATTGAATGATGCTTTGAATGTCATGTTCTGCCCCCCAAATAGTGCGTTATTCGGGCGGTGCCCTTCATTTGAAGTTAGGCTTGAAACTATTCTCTAATTGAGAGTTCTTTGGTCTAGCTTTGTTACTTTCCAATGATGTTCGACAAGAATCCTAATAACTTTTTATTGTTATGTTGTGTTGCTTTTAATATAAAGCAAGCATACTTAATCGTGATTATCTTGCCATTGAGTAAGGGGAGTTCTTAATTTCATCCCTTTAACTAGGGCAGGAGGTGTTGTCGGCCTCTCATCTATTTGATGATGGGAAAAGTTGTAATATGTTTCTTGTCCCCTTAATGAGGGGGGCCTTTTTAATACGAGGCAAGTCGATTTTGATCCCTTTTAGTACAGGGAATGACAGTTACGAGCTCCACTCAGGCCGAACCCTTATAATACGCGGCACGTATATTGATTTTGATCTCTTTTAGTACGAAGAATGACAATTACAAGCTTCACTCGGGCCCTTAGAATACGGGGCACTTTGATTTCAACCCATTTTAATACAGTGAATAACAATTATGAGCTTTATTTAGCTCGGGCCCTTATAGTACTGGATACTTTAATTTTAACCCCTTTTAATACACTAGATAACAATTATAAGCTTCATTCAGCTCGGGCCTCTATAGTATAGGGCACTTTGATTTCGACCTCTTTTAATACGGAGGACAACAATTACGAGCTTCATTCAGCTCGGATCCTTATAGTACAAGGTACTTTTGTTTTGACCCTTTTTAATACCGTGAATAACATTTATGAGCTTCATTCAGCTCGGGCCCTTATAGTACTGGGCACTTTAATTTTAACCCCTATTAATGTAGGAGATAACAATTACGAGCTTCATTCAGCTCGGGCCTCTATAGTAAAGGGCACTTTGATTTCAACCTCTTTTAATACGGAGGACGACAATTACGAGCTTCATTCAGCTCGGGCCTTTTAGTATATAGCACTATTTTAACCCCTTTTAATACAGGGGACGACAATTATAAGCTTCATTCAGCTCCGGCCCTTATAGCACGGGGGCACTTTTATTTCGACCCCTTTTAATACAGGGACTACAATTACGAGCTTCATTCAGCTCTTATATTACGGGGCACTTTGATTTTGACCCCTTTTAATTCGGAGGACGACAATTACGAGTTTTATTCAGCTCGGACCCTTATATTACAGGACACTTTGATTTCAACCCCTTTTAATACGGAGGACGACAATTACGAGCTTCATTCAGCTCTGGCCCTTATAGTATGGGGCCCTTTGATTTCGACCCCTTTTAATACGGAGGACGACAATTATGAGCTTCATTCAGCTCGGACCCTTATATTACAGGGCACTTTGATTTCGACCCTTTTTAATACGGGGGACGACGATTATGGGCTTCATTCAGCTCACCCCTTTAATAAGGAGGTTCGTAGTAATTCTTAGCTTTATTTAGCTCGCCCTTTTATTTATTTGGGGGTTCTCTCGAGTCTCTCTTTTTTTCTTTTTCTTTTTTTATCGAGTCTCAATGTGATTGGCCAATAGTATCCTCGTCGAATGGCATTGTACGCTAGGTATTGCTTCCCGGATGACTTTATGCTTCAAAAGTGTGCTTGTGAGCAGTGCTCAAAAGGTGAGCAAAGATGGACCAATCTTATAGTAATGTTTCTATGTGTTGAAAGTAATGTGCAGTAGATAATTTTTTCTTTTTTTCTTTTTTTCAAAAATCTTACTGTTTTAAGAAACTAAGCAGTGATATAGCATGGCCATAGAGTCTCGTGTGTTGTGTTGAATGTGAGAATCTCAAACCATATTACTTTTACTCAAGAACATTCAACTATATATGCTCCAGTCAGAAAGCAACCTTAAATGATAAATAGGATTATCAAGTGCACATAAGAATAATGCTCACACTCTAATTAGTTAAATCATAAAAAGTAGTGATATGATCCATTTTATAAATGTACAAATATGTATATATGTACCATAACTCATGTCTATTAATGAGTAGATTTAAATTTATAAATATAAACATGTTTACTTTACATGCCATACTATGGACCTGAGTGATCTCACTGCTATATGCAATACATATGTCGCTCAAAGCATGCAACAAGCTATTGGACTTATATTCTTGAAGATTTATATATATATATATATATATATATATATATATATATATATATATATATCATAATCCCAAGACCCCAAGGTCTTGGACTTTGTGATCACATTAAAATTAAAATGAATCGTAACCACTTCACGACAACAACAGTTACCATTGGAAACATGTTTCTAATGTATTTACTCAAAATTATGACAGTCGTGGTAATTTTCTTATTCAATCAGGAAGAACAACTCATGTCTCGAAGGTTCTTCTATTTTACTACCTCCATTCCAAATTAGATGTTCTGTTTGGGGAACCGTTATAAGTCACGATTCCCAAATAGGACTTTTTTTTTGGGACGGAGGGAGTATTAAATTAACTAGTCAACTTCAAGAAAATTCATTTTTTTTTTTTTCAATTTTACAAGAGGGCAAGAATTACTTACACTAAAAATATATAGAGCAACAGATGACCTATCAATGGACATATGTAACAATAATATTTCAATGGTGAGATAGTTTACAGTAGCTAAAAGAATACACGTACATATACGTCATATAGACAACTATCACACTTGATGCACAATTTATATTGTTTCACTTTTTTTTTTCTTCTTTTCAGCCTCTGTAAAAAGATCTTCAGTGAGACATATATTCCATTAGATTTATGGTGTTGGGTAAAATTTCGTGTGATTCAGTAAACAAAGCATAAATTCCATCGTTACTAAATCATCTATTTAATTCAATGAAGAATGAAAAAAATAGTGAATGAGAAATTTTAAATTCTGTCTTTCTAATCAAGCTCACGGGACTAGAAAATTTTATTTGTAGAACAAATTTACCAGTTTCCTCATTTTGTCCACTACTCTGCCTTCATGGTTAAATCCAGATATATGAAGTCATGGCATCGCAAGCTTGTACCCATATATGATGGATTAAATTGTTAACTATGATCTAATCTAACTCATGCTCATAAAAAGAAAAATGATCTGTATATGCTCATCTGTGTAGTATGTATAAAATATATAGGATATATATTTATACAAGATATGTAATAGAGCATGAGAGAATTGGATTTATCCAGTATGAATCAACCACAAATTTGATAAAAGTAATAGACGTATGTAGAGTTGACGGCACGTACCCAGTTTCTTGGTTGTAGATATTGATGGAGACAGAGACTGTTCGTCACTAAACCCAAGAAATTTATTTTTGTGATCGATAATGAACGAAATGTTGGAGTTGGCCAGTGTCGACGACAAAGGCCAAGAACACGAACACCGTTATTGAGCAATAATTTATGGGTCGTAATTTGTTAGGATTAACACACGTTTCCCACAGATGACGCCAACTGTTGAAGCAAAAATTCGCACGGTCTAGAGTCGAGGGCCATTCCTGCAAGACAAGAGAAGTGAGACCGGCGTAGTGCCGACGGCGTGGTGCCGGCCGGGTGCACTCCAACGGTCAAGTTAGTATTTGACGATTGAATATCCGATAAATAATTAAATATGGGATTTATGGTGTACCCGAATGACTTCTTTTATAGAAGTATTAATGGTTCTGTAATGAAACTGATTTATTTTCCTTATCTATTACAAATTGTGAGAGTCATCAGAGAGGGTAGTAGTTGTTAGTTCTATCTCCTTTATTTTATCACAATCCTTTGAGTCTCCAGGTCATTTGGAACTCTTAAACGATCAAATATTCCATATCAGATACCATGTTAACAATCATCTACTCCAACTCCAAAAACTTAAGCTATTAAAAAGGGTGTAACTTTAATATTTAAATGCTTCAACACAAATGAAAGATCCTTAAAATTGTTTATGTGAGATATATTTTTGTAATTGACATATTTCGGTAACAAAACAAGTCCTAGTCGAGTTATATTTTCAGTTACCATATCAGATTCGACATCGACTGCGGAATTGGAAGTTTGTTCAAAAGAGGAAAGTACTGTTGATCATAAAAAAGGAAAGAACAACACATTAGGACATCGTTTCCCACTTAGGACACAATTACCTACATGGTATATGTTCAGAGTTACCAAATTATAGAAAATCCAAGTTCCAGTTAGATTCTGTCAAGTGGGAACCGGTACCTGAATTTGGGAACCAGTTCCAGAAGCTAAGATTCAAAGAACTCCATTTTATCCTTTGGGAACTGGTACCAAGATTGGAAACCGGTACCAGAAGTCCTGACAACAACAGGTTTTCAGTTTCCTTATTCTGTTTGATTCTTTTTTTATCCAACTTTCCTTCGAAGTCCTATACACGAAATTTCCTTTATTTTCACTTTGCAAACCTCTATATAAACCATGTCATACACATTGGTTTATGAACGGCTTTTGTTCTACAAATTCATTATTCTTAAAAGCCTTAGGAAGATTATTTTTGCAGAAAATCAGAGTTGATTTTTTTGTCATCTTTCTAGAACACATACAAATAAACACATAGTGAGTTTAGAGTTATGGTGTTCAAATCCTGGTCATGATCATATAGTTGCATCTCTATTGATCAGATGAAAGCAGATCTATTTCTACATCGAATTCAGACGATTGAAGAACAGAAGTAAAAGCAATCACACTTTGAAAGGGTTGGAGCATTCGTGGAGTGTTGTCTAATCTACCTGTTACTCTTCTACAAATATCAAGCATA